CCTTAACCCAGAGAAATGCACACCTACACAATATTTTGAACAATGTCAGGATGATGACAGATGCTCTGAAGCCCATCCACTGAATCCCTAGTAGGCATGGACCCCAAGTAAGGAATGCCATCACTGAAAGCCAATTCTTTCAGTTTCTCTCAAGTGAAATATTCGAATCTATAAATGTAACCCCAAAAGAACACATATAATGCCCAGAGCCTTGTACAGCAGTGTTCACTTAAGATGTTCTGAATAAACAAGACTGAAACTATTTTTATACAATCATTTATTTAAAAACTCAACCATTCAACCAGGATTGAGTTTCTACTATGTGCCAGCCATCGTGGTACAAAGATGAAGGGGAATGATGGAAGTATAGACACATGGCATGAACTTCAAAGGAAGAGGGATTTTTATGGAAAGATAGGAAGCAATGGTTTAGAGGCAGAATGAAGCAGCAAGGTGGTCCCCCGCCTCACCTCTGGAGGTTGCAGAGGCAGCAGTGACTCCAGGAGGGCTAGGCTTAGAGGGAAAAACATTGTTGTGCAGAGAAAAGGACTGTGAGGGAGTGGAGCAGCAGGAAGAAAAGAGGACACAGAACAGGACTGGGCAGACTGCACAGGAGAGCAGTGCTAATTAGACAAGCTTACATTTTAGGCCATAGTCAAGAACCAGGAGGAAGGCGGACAATTTGCCAGCCTCAGTGTTACAAATAGAGTACTGGTGTCAAGCCTCTTCTGCATTCATTTGAGGCTTTGGTGTCTGCTCATTACATCTCTTTCTACATCTTCTCCAGTCATGATCCTTGGTGAAGTATCCACGGAGAACCAAACAAAAATCCCAGCTTCCTCACAATTCCTTGATCTTCTAAGTGACTTACTTTCCCCTCACTCACTTCAGCCTTACTGGTCACAGCTAGAACTGCTCCCCGGCCTCCTGTCTGACCATCTGACCACACTTTCATGCCTTCAGCTCTCTCACACCCAGCCTCCAATCCCTCCATACTCTGACTTCTGCCTGGTCTCTTCCTGGCTGTGCTTCCCTCCTTACATATGCTAAGCCTCTGTCTGCAAATGCACTCAACACCCTCCTCCTGTCTAATTCTGCCTAATTCACGGAGATGTGGGTCTAACTTGAGGCCTGGATCATGATCTACCTCCTTTTTACCTTGTCTGGACTGCTGAGCACAGACGGTGAAACTACCACCTTGAGGCCTGGTGCCACTGCCCATTGCTGTTCCCTGTAGGATCTTCAACAGCTACACCAGGCTTGTCCTCGTCCTTGGTCAGCCATCTTTAGCACACCTCCCAGATACTTTCTCCAAACCCCTAACCCTACTCATTCACAGCAGATAACCTTCACCAGACATGGAATTCCTCCATTTTCTGTTTTCTCCACCTACAAACTGGTCTACTTCGGAAACCAGATTAGTGCTTCTTTCCTAGATCAGCACCAGTTTTTCATTCCTGTTCCACAGCTGGTCTTCCACAAGTCTCCTGACCCCATTCTCTTTTATTGCCCCTCGGCCCTTGTTTTCCTCGATTATTTCACTGATGAAGTATTTGTCCAGAGGTTTACTATGCACCAGGCTCTGTTCTAGGTGCTGGGATACAGTAGGGAAACCAAGACAGACAAAATCCTGTCCCTCACTGGGAAATGGGGGGTGGAGGTGAGAGGGTGTGAAGAACAGACAATAAATAAGTAAAAATGTCAAAACAAACCAGACAATCTCTCTTTTCACAGATCTCATCTATGGAACAGGAGTGCTAATTCCTGAATTAGGAACTTAGACTGATTTGAGAAATAAACCTCTCCATCAGTCTCCCCTGCCTGCAGTATGCCTGGCCATTCTGAAGACTGCCATCCATCCTGCCTTGTCCCTGCACTGCCCTCTAGCTATGTCTTTCTTCTTCCCTACTCTGCTGACCTTCTTTAAAATTCCTGTATATATTCCATCTCCATACTCTTTTTTATTTAGTCATCTATTTAGTGGGAAAAGTAATGCATACATTTAAAAAAAACAAAAAGCTAAAGAAAAGGCTATTGTACTTTTTAACTGTACAGGCATCTTCAACCTACCATAATCCAGCTTCTACTCTACTACTCCATTAAATCTGTTCTGGCAAAGGTATCCAATAATTGTTCCCGGAGCCTAATCTGAGTGGACTTTTCCTGCCTCACACTACTATTCCTCTGTACTCCTGACTCCCTTCTGCCTGGTTGGCTCAGACAGCACAGTTCTTTGAGGTTACAACACAAGCTCTTCCGCCTCTGGTGCCTGCCTCTTAAATGCTGATGTTAAATGCAGAGTTCCACCTTTGCCAGTGTTCTCTTTCTGCACGTATCTGCCTTAGGTAGGACAACCATATAATTTCTATGATCCTAATGGTACATCTTTAAGAATGAAAGAGGGAGGAATTAATAATTACTACTCTGGGACAGTAGGTGTGAGCCAAGACTATCCCAAATAAGCTAGGATATATGGTCATACTATTTTTAGGAGATTGTATCCACTGTTACGGTTTTAACTAACACATACCTGTTAATCATTTGTAAAATTAAGTCTGCAGCCTTGATAGTGGCATCGAGCTTTATTTTCCAAATCTTCAGGTTATGATTTCTTACAGGTATCTCAAACTTGGCATGGCCAAAACTCAATTAATCATCTATATTCCTCAAACCTGCTAATCCTTATATTTCCTATCCAAGTGATAAATATTACCCAGGCACTCAATCCTCTAAGCTGGGGATTGTTCTAGATTTCTCATTCCACCTCACCTATCCTATTTAATCACTAAGTCATGCTGACTTTAGCTCTGAAAACTTCTCTAATCCACTGTTTTCCCCCTAGACTTCTGTCATAACCTTTTATCTGATTTCCTTGTTCCAGTCTTGTCTCCTTCAAATTCATTTTCCACACTGCTGCCAGAGTGATCTAAAAGTGATCACACTTCTGCTTTGCAACTTTCGATAGCTCCCTATTGCTTAATAGATAAAGACTTCCATCATGATCCTTCCAGATCATTTCTTCAGCCTCTCTCTCCTTTTGTACTCTAATAACACCAAATTGCTTATAGAAACACATACATATCATCTTTTTCCCTTAAGGTGCTTCCCACTTGCAGACCTTTGTTCATGCTGTTCCTTATGTCCAGAATGCAGATCTCCTTATGAGGCTGGCCAACACTTACATCATTTTTGCTATTCACTCATACCTGGCCCAGAAGGGAGATCAGAGCACCTCTTAAATTTTCACACTACCTGTCTACATCTCTATTACAGCACCGGATATATGAATTATGTCAGTCTTCTCTACTAGTTGGTAAGGTTTGTGAGCACCAGGGCAGTGTCCCTTAAATATTTAACAAATATTCAGTCTCTTTTTAGGAGATCTTATCCACCATTATGAATATAACCAACAAAATTAAAATAAGTTGGACTAATTATTGAAATGAATAAACAGCTTTGTTTTTCCACAAGTGCCCATATTTTTTATAAAGACATCAGTGGAAAGATTTAAAAATTCATAAGGGCTTCAACTGCCATAAATTTGTCATGTTTTATGAAACTGAAGGTATAGATCTTAGCATGGGAGACAGGATAATTCAATTAAAAAATATAGAGTGCTGATGCACCAAAGTTAAGAAAAGAGCAAATTTTTAATTGTTTTCAGAAAATTAGAATAAATTTTAGTACTTGTTTGATTTATAAAGTTTTGTAAAAATATTATCCAAAAGCACTTTTTTCTAAAAGAGGTTTCTCATTCCTTGTTTTTTTTTTATTATTTACATTTTTAAAAAACATACAACTTGGAAAAAGAAGATTAGCATTAAATATCCTAAAATCCAGTATCTATAAAATCTGCCCAAACATCCTTTTCTACTTTCCAGATGTTTCCTCTTATGATTTCCATGTTCTTATATGCTTAGCTATAGCTCACAAAGAAAGAACTTTGACTTTGTCTGTCAAAACCCAAACTACTTAACCTTCAAGGCATAGAAATAAACCCATTTTGGGTAAATTTTTAGATAAAATGTGGTCCCCCTATGACTTATTTATTTTAAGTAACTGTGGGGAAATTTTAAAAGTAAAATTTAAAATTTTAAAGAATACGAGTGTTAACAGAAGAATGGCAAGAGCATCTGGCATAACTGCTTGTTCAATGAACAAATAAAGAGACACACAGAGCAATTTACAGTCATGATTATGAATGAGCCCAAATAGTATATGTTCTTCTGACAAAGTCCTACTCCTATGATAGTTTTCAATTTCCGAATTCAATCACATCACTTTGGGCAATATTTCCTAATTATATTTTGGCTTACAATTCTTGTTTTGTGAACTGTGATTATTTCCCTGAGAAAGAAAACAATTTGAGGTATTTTGAAATTTAAAACATGCTCTGATATTTTCTTCAAGCTGCAGATAATCAGACTATTCAAAAGGGACAGACACTGGCTTTCTGGCTACGGTAAGCACCCCAAGGTAGATCTGAGAGGATGGGAACACGATTATGCACTGCATTGAGAAATACGTTTTACCAAAATGTAACTGGGAATAAGTTAAAATACCTTTAAATGTAATATTTCTTTTTTTATTGGCAAGGTGGTGAGACTATGAAAACAGCTCCAATCACCAGATAAACAACTTTGAATACTCTCTACTGGTCAGAAGGTGGAGCTCTAAACATATCTGAAATACTGGCTTTTATATATGCACTTCACAAATGTGTGTAATGAGGAGATTAAAGCAGGAGTAAAGTCTTTAGAAAAATGATTCTGAAGAATATTCCAATCCTCTCAGGATAAAATCACCCACATCTCCCAATGTACATGGTTAACTAACAAAAAAGATGTTTAGCATGTTCCTTTGCAATTTCAATATATTACCTACTATAAAAATTTAGGTATATGTAAATCAGAAATAAAATATAAACTATATTTCAAAAGGAAGACATTTAAAAAATCAGGACCACATAGTCAAATGTAGGCAAGGTTATTAATACTTACATGCATCTCGGATGTAGAGTAACATGGCTATGAAGATATAATCAACTAAACTCAGGCTGAGGCCATCTGCAAACAAGGCATCCCAGACCACCAGAAGATCCTGCAGAGGGAACTCTCTTCCAAACAAAAGCCGCACCCACCGTCTGGAGAGAAACCAAACAAAAATTCAGAAAATAGTACTTTTGAGAGTAATATAAAGAGTGTTCATTTTCTCATGTAATTGTGGGAAAAAAGTTAAAATTTATTAACTGAGTATAGTGAGCAAATATCCACCCAAAATGTGATAAAGTAAAATACAAGTTTTTTTTCCCTTTTTTTGTCATTTTTCGTGACCGGCAACGGATCGCAACCCTCAGTGTCGCGCCCGTACNAGTGAGCAGCCGGTCTGTATGTGGGATCCGAACCCTCGGCGGGAGCGCCGCCGCACTCCCAGGCGGTGCACTGTAGCAGTGCGCCACCGGGCTGGCCCCTAAAATACAAGTTTTAAGCTTTCAAAGGAATTTTATAATTCTATAACTAGGCCATAATCATTAAACTTTATTCTGATATGAATAAAACACAGTACTATGCTTGATCTAGTGAATATGAATATATTCACTAGAAATCACAAATGCCCAAAAGGTAAGGAGAAAACAAATGTGTAATGGTATGGTAGTTGCCTCATTTGTAAGGTTATGAGTTAAAAATACAATTTTCCAAAATTTCATGATCTCTACTAGTTTTTTGTTATTGCTGTTAACTGGCCTTTTGCAAATGTTTATACGACAAATTACTATAGCGAAACTGAGAAAACCGCATTCTCACACTTCATTCTTATTTAAAAATATTCATTTTAAAATTAAATGTGGGAAAAAAACCAGTAGATATCTATTTTTTTGGTCAAGTGTAGACATTTATTTTAAATGAAACACATAATGATATTTAATTTTTTAGCTTTGGAATAAAGATACCTGATCAGTGAGGCTATCTTTCTAGGGGTGCTTTCACATTTACTTCTATAGCCAGGAAAATGAGTATCTATGCCACAGAGCAGACTTAAGCAGCTAATAAGAATACTAAACAATGTCCGTATATAATTGTGCCTCGTAAACAGCAACATCTAGACTTTCTATAAATGCTAACTATGCTATTTATGTATAATTCTTGTAAGAAAATAAAAATAATTTGGTTTGATATGTTTTTATCCATTTATTTCTAATTTTATATA